TTAGGTTAGGTTAGGTTAGGTTAGGTTAGGTTAGGTTAGGTTAGGTTAGGTTAGGTTAGGTTAGGTTTAGGTTAGGTTAGGTTAGGTTAGGTTAGGTTAGGTTAGGTTAGGTTAGGTTAGGTTAGGTTAGGTTAGGTTAGGTTAGGTTAGGTTAGGTTAGGTTAGGTTAGGTTAGGTTAGGTTAGGTTAGGTTAGGTTAGGTTAGGTTAGGTTAGGTTAGGTTAGGTTAGGTTAGGTTAGGTTAGGTTAGGTTAGGTTAGGTTAGGTTAGGTTAGGTTAGGTTAGGTTAGGTTAGGTTAGGTTAGGTTAGGTTAGGTTAGGTTAGGTTAGGTTAGGTTAGGTTAGGTTAGGTAGGTTAGGTTAGGTTAGGTTAGGTTAGGTTAGGTTAGGTTAGGTTAGGTTAGGTTAGGTTAGGTTAGGTTAGGTTAGGTTAGGTTAGGTTAGGTTAGGTTTAGGTTAGGTTAGGTTAGGTTAGGTTAGGTTAGGTTAGGTTAGGTTAGGTTAGGTTAGGTTAGGTTAGGTTAGGTTAGGTTAGGTTAGGTTAGGTTAGGTTAGGTTAGGTTAGGTTTAGGTTAGGTTAGGTTAGGTTAGGTTAGGTTAGGTTTAGGTTAGGTTCGGTTAGGTTAGGTTAGGTTAGGTTAGGTTTAGGTTAGGTTAGGTTAGGTTAGGTTTAGGTTAGGTTAGGTTAGGTTAGGTTAGGTTAGGTTTAGGTTAGGTTAGGTTAGGTTAGGTTTTAGGTTAGGTTAGGTTAGGTTAGGTTTAGGTTAGGTTAGGTTAGGTTAGGTTAGGTTAGGTTAGGTTAGGTTTAGGTTAGGTTAGGTTAGGTTAGGTTAAGTTAGGTTAGGTTAGGTTAGGTTAGGTTAGGTTTAGGTTATATATAGATATATAATATAACCATTATATATTTATATATATATATGTATATATTTTCGAAATTTGTGTTTTAAGTCCATAACTTTTGATTGAGAGGTCTGATCGAAAAAGTACGAATCGTTTTGGATTCTACGCACCAAAATTAGTGAGAAAAAGCGTTTTCCTGAGAAATTTTGTAGCAGTCGATTTTTGGTAAAAAAGGAAGGTAATAACTGCCTTTTTTTTGAGGCCGGAAAAAAAAATTGTCTGAGATTGACCGGGAAAAAACATTTTCTTATAGAGTTTGGTCCGTAGAATCCATAATTTCAAACAGTTCCAAGATTGGACTACTAGATAAAAAGTTACAGCCCTTTGAACTTTATATATATATTGTCGAAATTTGTATTTAGTCCATAACTTTTGATTGAGAGGTCTGATCGAAAAAATACGCATCGTTTTGGATTCTACGCACCAAAATTAGTGAGAAAAAGTGTTTTCCTGAGAAATTTTGAAGCAGTCGATTTTTGGTAAAAAAGGAAGGTAATAACTGCCTTTTTTTTTGAGGCCGGAAAAAAATTGTCTGAGACCGACCGGGAAAAAACATTTTCTTATAGAGTTTGGCCCGTAGAATCCATAATTTCAAACAGTTCCAAGATTGGACTACTAGATAAAAAGTTACAGCCCTTTGAACTTTATATATATATATATATATATATATATATATATATATATATATATATATATATATATATATATATATATATATATATATAACTGTAGTAACTTTTGATTTAGTGGCCCAAGTCGGTTCATATTCCAGTGGAACTCGGGCGGGACTTTACGGAAGCGCAGGTATACGACGGGACGAACTAAATCACTCCTAGGGAGGCTCAGGTTTACGCCGGGGTATTTGCCACTGTTTCTCCCTGTCCCCGGGCGGGCGGTAAACGGCGGGAGTAGATGTAACTCTCTTAGTAAACTCGTTAAACGCGGGTAAACGGCGGGAGTAGATGTAACTCTCTTAGTAAACTCGTTAAACGCGGGTAAACGGCGGGAGTAGATGTAACTCTCTTAGTAAACTCGTTAAACGCGGGTAAACGGCGGGAGTAGATGTAACTCTCTTACTAAACTCGTTAAACGCGGGTAAACGGCGGGAGTAGATGTAACTCTCTTAGTAAACTCGTTAAACGCGGGGAAACGGCGGGAGTAGATGTAACTCTCTTAGTAAACTCGTTAAAACTGCGCGGTAAACGCGGGTAACGCGAGTAGATGTAACCCTTAGTAAACTCGTTAAACGCGGGTAAACGGCGAGTAGATGCTAACTCTCTTCGTAAACTTCGTAAACGCGCGGTAAACGGGCGGGAAGTAGATGTAACTCTCTTAGTAAACTCGTTAAACGCGGGTAAACGGCGGGAGTAGATGCTAACTCTCTTAGTAACTCGTTTAAACGCGGCGTAAACGGCGGGAAGTAGATGTAACTCTCTTAGTAACTCGCTTAAAACGCGGGTAAACGGGAATGACTAGATGTTAAGGGAACGGCTGAGAGCTGTAACTCTCTTAGTAAGTCTCGTTAAACGCGGTAAACGGCGGGAGTAGATGTAGACTCCTCTTAGTAAACTCGTTAAACGCGGCGTAAACGGCGGGGAGTAGATGTAACTCTCTTAGTAAACCGTTAAACGCGGGTAAACGGCGGAGATGATGTAACTCTCTTAGTAATCTCGTTAAACGCGGGGTACAACGGCGGGAGTAGATGTAACTCTTCTTAGTAAACTCGTTAAAACGCGGGTTAAACGGCGGGAGTAGATTAACTCTCTAGTAAACTCGTTAAACGCGCGGGTAACGGCGGGAGTAGATGTAACTCTCTTACTAAACTCGTTAAACGCGGGCTAAACGCGGGAGTAGATGTAACTCTCTAGTTTACGACTCGTTAAACGCGGGTAAAACGGCGGGAGTAGATGGTAACTCTCCCTAATAAACTCGTTTAACGCGGTAAACGGCGGGAGTAGAATGTAACTCTCTTATAACTTCGTTAACGCGGGTAAACGGCGCGGGGTAGGTGTAACTCTTGTGAAACTGGTAGGTATATGCCTCGACATGTACAACTTTAGATTCTATTAACCTCTACCTACCTAAAGGGGTAGGTGGGCTGGGTCACGCCCGCACCATTTGACGCGTCCTACGTCGCAACCGGTGGGTTATTTATTACCCTCCCCTCCGCCACGAACGCGCTCCGAGGGACGCCGAGCCAGCGCTGCTTAATGATGACATTTCAGGGGAACTCGCCGGTCTCGAATGCGGCGCGCTCGGAACGGCTCAATTCAGCCGGTCTCGCGATTAACCCGCGAGTGTCCCCTGAAATGCAGAAGCGGCGAAAACTTCGAGATCCGCTGCCGTCGCTTCTACGGTCGGCAACGTGGTCATTTTCTACCCTCCACGACCACTCGGCGACGCCGCGCACCGAAGGACGCCGAGCTAGCGGGCCGTTGACGGTTTTGACATTTTAGGGGACTCGGCGGGTCTCGAATGGGCGCGCTTCGACGGCCCTCAATTTCAGCGGTGCTCGCGATAAGCCCGCCTAGTTCCCCTTGAAATGCAGAGACGGCGGAAAACTTCGAGATTCGCTGCCCGTCGCTTCTAGTCGC